GTTATTCTTCTTCAAATTGCCCTCTATTATCCACCATTCCGCCGCATTACACAGAATTCCCTCTTTTATGTGCATTACAATAACGTCTTATATTTGAAAATTGTCGTAAATAAGGGCGAATAAGAAAACACGCTAAATGAATACAAGTCGGGGGAAAAAAGGGAAAACACTTCTAACAGGAAGCCGTTTTTCCTTTGAAAAAATACTCGGTAAAGCCGTTCGCTTTCCATATCCAACGCGTTCCCTTTTAACAATTTACAATCGTCCACGAACGTCATTGATTGATATCGTATCATTCAAATACGCCAAAGGGCCAATTAACTCCAACAAGCTTAAATAAATAACAAAATCTGGAAAAAAAGACATTAGAATTTATTGTGCATATTGAAAAAAGTCAATGCAGTATGTACTCTATAAATACGACCAGAGAGATAATTAAAGAATTCATGCAGGCCATTGCATCGTGTTAAATTGTTATTAAGCTAATTTGTTGGAGTCCTGAGGAGCAGTCAAGAATGAGGCAGTTTAGAAAAACACTTTTTTCATTTTTTTGCAGCGTTTCGACCTCTATTCGGGACATCTTCAGAGCATAAAAAGTGGTGGTAATTTTATGATGTATTGGTTTTGTGTAAAATTGTTGTGAAAGTCAAAACCAACCACCACAAGAATACACCATACTTTATGCCCTGAAGATGCTCGAATAGAGGTCGAAACATCGGAAAAAAATTAAAATCGGTTTTTCTAAACTGGCTCATTTTTGATCGTTCCTCACGACTCCAATACTTTATTAAACAACCGGTCTCTAAAAAAACACCAAGTTTTTAGGAAAGTTAAGAATATAAGATGTGAACGATCTTTCGAGATTTTCATCTCCTAAATGTGCTAAAGTGTTTAAGGAGGTCATTCAAAGGTTTATGATTAGGCTTTGATAGTTCTTGTTCATATAATGTACTTTTTTAATGATAAATTAACAAAAAAGAAGTGTTGCTGCATTGCCTTTAAATGCGCCTTGGTGTACAATTGTGTTGTGCTTTGACCACTTTCTTGACCCTTCGTCTTTAATCCACATTTTTATTGTAACATGGTAAATCAAATTTTATTCGGAAAATAATTTACAAGCTGGCGTACTGGCACAAAGATTAGCACTCAGTTTCGAACTATTAATCAATTAATAACTATGAAATTTCTTGTTGCTGTCTGCAGGGTGATGAACCTGAAGAATGGTCGATTCCGATCATCCCGGTCTTTCTTCTCACGCCGGTTGGGCCGGCAGACTCGCCCATTTTCCTACATTGCTCGGTTTGTCGTTTATACATATAAAATATTATAAATTGTAGTTACACACCAGGGCAGTGAAGCTGGGAGGAGTATGATCGGAAACGATCAAATTAAATTAAATATGTTATGGCAAGTTCAATAAACTATCCGAGCTTTGTTCAAATAAACATAATAAACAAACTAGCTTGTTGATGTTGTTGAGTAATTAAGGCTTGATGGATGTATGACGGCAGTCATAAATTGCCATTGTCCGTCGATATCGATGGCATCTCTCATTGACGGCTCGTCGACTTTAGAAGGTAAAAATGTTGAAATTATTCTGACAAAACACAAACACTTTTCTAATTACGATAACGTTAACAAAACACCTCTAAAATTTGTAGAAAAAAATCAAGGGTTAAACGGCTGCTTACGCCAGTCCTACTTCGTGGTGAATCGATCGTTAAAATATCTCGTAGCGCCCTCCGCAAAATGCATAAAAGACAATGGAATGTATATTCATAACGGGCGAACAGATCGCTCGAAACATAAATTATTCCCGCGCGGAAAACAAAAGGGCGAACGGTTCAGGGGCTGGGTCGCTGGGGGTACGGGGTTCCATCTCTATTCACCGCACTGGATTTCGAGTATTAATTAATGAATACCGATTTGTAATCACCTGTATATAATTATCTTTGGGAACGTAAAAGCATTAATTATCGTTTAGATAAGCTGGCCTGATTAATGACACGATCCGTGGTAGTTGCCGAATTGAGACCTTGCGATTTATTCTGCACCTGGTATTAACTTACATTAAAAAAAAAATATTCGTACATAGTTTAGAGATGAAATCATCCGTCATTTTGTCCATTCGTCATGTCATTCGTAAGTTTTTAACATATAAACATTAAAGAATTTTCATTTATAATTTTCTGAACGGTAACTTAATTTACCCCAAAAATCAAAATACTTACATAAAGGCTTGAAGTACCTTTAAAAGCGTTCTTTTTTCGTTTTGAATTGAATTGTTTTGGTTATTTTGTTGTGTGTTTATGGAAGGAAAATGATTTCAATTCGTTTTAATCCGGCTTCAAGACTGATTCAGTACTGAACAAGCCGAGGCAAACAGTACGTTGCTATTTAATCTACCGGTCCTCGGCCCATTTTTGCAGCAAATTAGTTTTACAAGTGTCAATATTTGACGTTGTGCCGAATCAAGCCGAGAGAACTTTTAAACTTCGTGCCTCGTTAACCTAACTATGTTATGACTTCAACACAATTTTTTCTTCTTACAAACATGACGGAAAATAAAAAATTGTAGCTCGGAAAAATTCAAAAAAATTTGAAATGCATTGAGTGATAACAACTCATTCGAAGTATCCCAGCTTTTATGTTTTTTTCTTCTTGTAAATATAAAATAAACGTTTAATGAAGATAAACATCACGGCAATAAAACCCATCTTATACAGAATTTTGACCATTAGTCAACTTAGGAGCAAGGAGGTCTAAAATGTTTCCCTCTACTATAAATGTTTGTTTTACATAACTGGTCAGATTTACGACTAACAAAATCCACCATAAAATTGTTAAAAAAAAACACACACACACACAAAAACACGATTATAAAAATTCCAGGATTGCGCAGATGAACTCTAATCAACGTTGAAATTCAAGGATTTATTTTAAGTAAACGAGTTGTTAATCAAATAATCTGTGTTATATTATCATATTTTTATTCGTAGCGAGTAAAATTGGCGTCGACGAAGTATTTTTTCATGTCAGCTGGAGTTAAGTTCAAGCGCCCAAGGACAATTTAGCAAGGGCTTTTTATAATATTGCACTTGCTGTTATTTATTATTTTTTTCTCAATAAAACCTTAATTCATTTGCAGGGCATAAATTTACTTCCTACTTGCCAACTTGAATTAAATGTTTTATTCAAATATGAACCAACTAGTGTTTTGGAACAAAAATGGTTGATAAAATTACATAACATGAATAGAAGATTTTTTAAAGTTTGCGTAATTGTGAAAGTTATATTCAATGTATTTATATTTAAGCAAGCACATTTATGTTTATTAAACAAGGTGTATGCCATGTATTTATATTCCAGTTATAATCAATTTATTTGGGTATGAACGCAATTAAGCTCATTAAGCAAGAATAGTTAATTAAATTGTATAACAATATAACAATGAGTATTAGGGCTAATTAGGAAAGTTTCGCCCTGAGGAATATCGTGGTATGGGGTGAGTGTGTGACGTCTGGATAGTAAAATTAAGTTATTAGCGTGAATGGGGTGGGTTCGACTCCCCCACACCCCGGAGGAATATCTGCCATATTTCTTTGTAGGCCGACTCAGTCCCAACGTTGCCAAGGTTTGTAACATTTCATCCAGATTATTCGTGACTAAAAATGTGGTCGATATATCTAACACATATGGTCTTGAACTTGCATTGGTTATGCAATGGCACTAACTAACTAACTAATAACTCGCATTCTGTAAATATCTGTTATATATTAAATTATAAAAGTGAGTGTTACATAATTTAGAATATGTACATATTAAAGTCTGTAGTTGATGAAAAATAAGAAATATATTCAAAACTAACCTTGAATTTAAGATAAAATATTAAAAACAAATTACTTAGTAAGAAAATATATTAATAATAGTCAATAGATGTCATTCACATTCCTTTTGTATATGCCCCGAGTAATATCGAGTACGTTGGGGAAGTAAAAGTAATTATTAGCAAGAATGAATGTTTAACCGCGCCTTGAGGAATATCGAGTATTCCGGTAGGTGGGAGGCGGACGTGACCAGACTTCTAAGTTTGTATCAGATGTTGTGTTTATATTAATCTCTTGGAATGGATGTAATTTATTAGCGTGAAAGGACGGGGTGGCTTATCCCCGCCCCGAGGAATATTGAGTATTCCGGTGGAGGTAGGAGGCGAACGTAACCTGACTTCTATGTTTGTATCAGATGTTGTGTTTATATTAATCTCTTGGATTGGATGTAATGTATTAGCATGAAATGAAGGGGTGGCTTAATCCCGCCCCGAGGAATATCGAAGTATTCTAGTGGAGTGAATGTCACCAGACATATATGTGGTATGTATTGTATGTTTTATATCTATTCAGTAGTTGACAACCTAAGATACAAATGAGAGGCTAGTATTTTAGGATAGGGACTTAGTTTTCATATGAAAATACGTGTGAAACACTAACACATAAAATTTCTAAATGAATCTTTTCTTCCAACTCATATAAAGTAAAAAGGACGATTTTAGTTTAAAATACTGAACCGAAATGTTGCATACAGAATCGTTTGGTCGTATGAAAAGTTAAAAAAAATCTATGTTAAGAAATCTTATCGGTAAATAATAAACACCTACGTAACAATCCGGATAGGCCCGGGGACTTGAAATGTTAAGGTCTTTTAACTTTTACTGTACGTATCTATGAAAATGGGGTCAGGCATTCAAATGTCGGAGTACAAGGCGTATTTGTAACGGGTTTTTGTTTTTGTTTGCGTTCAACCGCTTTCCTGTTCTACACCTCTATCCAAGCACGTTCCAGAAATCCTTTAATTTAATAGGCAGGAAGCGGGCGATAGTTTTCTAGAGGATTTTTTTCACATGTTAGCAGGTTGATTATAGAAATTCCCCACGATTTGTCTACAATAGCAATTCGACTTTCTTGCTGATTATAAAAATACGCTATGTTTTAAGTTGGTTTTACCTGCTCGGTCATGTTGGAGAAGCCGTTTTGTAGATGGTTGGGCACTGAGAGCGACACGTCGATGTTCTCGCTCCTCTGAAACAGAGAATGAAAATAGGTTAACCACAGAGAGATGGAATTCTTTAATTCTCTCGATTATGCCCCAGCATCCGTGTTTTTTTTTTCAAGTTTGACACGGCCGACATTAAACGTACAATGTGGGGGAAAGTCTTGCGGCGAATAATTTCCTTTGTAATGGGAGAAAGTCGCTCAATCGAAACAGTACGAGAAATCGAAAAATTTCAGCTCATAAAAATCCGCCTCGTGGTTTGTTTTATTAAGAAACCTATCACTCGAAAAGAGGATGAAATGGTTATAAATACTGAATTGGAATGTTCCAATTTAAGCCGGACTTGGTAACACCGCCTTAATTGGATTGGGAGTTTTATAAAAAATCTTAACTATCAATGAAAATTAATGAAATTTCTACAGTGTTATTTTAAATGTTGTAAATATTACTAGTTAAGAGGCTAAAGAAAGAAACAACCAATGAGATTTAATTAGTTTCTTATTGTATACAACCTGATGAATTTTATCTAACCTTAAATACTATTTGAAAAGCTTAAACAAAATTCTTATTTAACAGCAAATTTTGATTTCTAATTGTTATGTACAATAAAACTAATGTATATTCTTGTTTTCAAAATTGACACTTTTCATTGAATAAACACGAAGGTCACTCTCTTGAGTCTTCTTACTGACCAAGCATTGTCAAAGAGGTGGAACATTGACATCATTGAATCATTGTCACATTTGATGTCAAATTTTGCTCTAGAGCAGTTCATCAGTATCAATATCAAGGTAATTTGTTGTTGATGATACACCAAGAAACGCCAAGTTCCGCAGTACCTTGTACCTTGAACAGTTTAGCCTAAGTTGGAAACCATAGTCCATATGCAAATGGAATTGACTTTCTATGCTTAACTTATAACAGACTTGGATTAGTTTAATTTGATCTTACAATGTTTTATGAATAATTTGGATCTCGATACGGTCTAGATGAAAAACAAATTCATTTGTTACTGCCAAGTCCTATTTTAAAGTCATCATCATGACCTATATTAATTAAATATTATGACAACATATTTGCCCAGTTTATTCAAAAATCAATATAACCTTAAAAAATATTCAAACCATATAATCTTAATTATGTTTTTAATAGATGGGTTCGATTTTTTTAAAGATCGACTCAGTCCCAACATTGCCGAGGACACTTGCGCTAATGCTACCAATCCAAATTTTTGTCAGTTTACTGATGCATGTAATTTTTTTGACTTTTAACTATTGAAAATAGCAGTGTTTTATGCAAATTTGACTATTTTTTTTCTATATTAGGAATAAAAGTTGGTTACGGATGGTTAGGGATGATTTAATTAAAAGACGGGAAGCGGCAAAAAGGCGCTTTCGTCGAACTAAACTTCCTGAAGACCACTCTTCCTTCCGAGCCCTTCGCAATAAAACCCAATCCTATATCCGTCGGGCCAAAGCCCTTCATTACCAAGAGGCACTCTCCACCACTCCTGATCCTAGAGCAAAATGGAAGCTCCTTCGCAACATTGGCATATGTCGCCCACCCAACTCACTATCTTCCTATACTGTCTCCCTTAAAGAATTAAGCACCCACTTTGTCTCGCCTAACTCTTCTTCATCAATGCCTGTCCCCATACCAGCTCCCTCTGGACCCTCATTCAGTTCCTTATCCTTCCGCTACATACAACCCATACCTTCGAAAGATCATTTCTGATCCGAGCCCCTAAACTCTGGAACTCCCTTCCCCTTTCTATTCGGCACGCTGCCTCCTTTTTCTCCTTTAAATCCCGCCTGTATAATCACCTCCTCTCCTCTCCCTCCAAGCAGAGACCTCACGTTAACATTTGTTATTTTTGTTTAATATTCTCGTAATTTTTTCTTCTGTCCTGCCTTATTGGTATACTTTGTGCCAAGATTCTATCTTTTTTTTTTACTTTTAACTTAATAGAAGGAACTTCTTTTATTTATTTCATGTAAATTATTCTTAGGGGACACCAATCCCAAAATAAAGTTATTTTTCTTCTTCTTCTTAAAATAGTATACAAGAAATAAAGGACAGCTCCTAGTACACTCCTTGTAACTTTCCAGCATGAATGCTTCAGCTCAAGATAGCCTTTCGCTTACTTGATTCTACAAGGTACCTAGATCAAAATTGGTTAGACGGGGTGATGGTACACTTTTATCATAGTTTTTAATCGCTTTAATAATTTAATATTTGCAATAACACTGGTACTAATTTAATTAGTAATTATTGACCTATTTATTAATTAAAAACTACTTTATACCAATGTTGTATCAGACATCAAGTCCGTCTTTCCAACTTAGATAGTAGATCCTATATTAGAGGCATATTCATTATCAATCACTTAAAAACATATACGTTATCGTAAAAAAAAAGCTCAACTTTGATAGCATTAAATCAGAAAGGGAATATCTCGAGGGCGTAAGACAAAACGGGAAGAATGCGTTATTCATTAAAATCAGGGTGGAAAACAAACAGGCGTTAACTGAGAAATACTAGGGAAGCCTTCCAAAACTTAGCACTCGCCTTAATCCTACAACGAACTAAACTGATATTTATGTTGACAAAGAAGAAGTTGTACATAAACAATTTGGGAGGGTGTTGCGCGGAGGGGCGCGAGAAGGGGTAGTTGTAAGCCTCTTATCTGGTAAGCACATTCGGCGAGTATACTTTGTCATCTCTTTCTCTATCCCTGGGCCCCTTCCTCTTCCATTTCTCTCACATAAGTGGAAGATAGTCTTTATAATTTATGCGCAATTTACTCTTGTCACTATGCCCCCTTGATAACAACTCCAAACCCTTTGTGTTCACAGCCTCTCAAAACTCGCATCCGAACAATTCGGCGGTGGATTGTAAGAATTTTACAAAGGGAAGAAAGGCGGCTCTGTACCTTGGCCTCCAACGATCCACTAAATTAATGTCTATTAACGTCCAACCTTATCGTTTCATCGATGAGCTTTTGATACTTTAAACAATAGATTAAATTTGTTAAACAAATAACCGGGTTATTTAATAGGTTCCAGTTTCGTTACAAAGTTAGACATATTTTCAGGACTATAAGTTTATGTAGAGCATGACATTCTAATAGCTGAAATATTCTTTCATCTATGTTTTAACATACTAAACGCTTTTGATTAGGCAACTTAATTTAATGTACCTGGTTGATTACTGACGATAAAAGTGATCCTGTGTTTTAAGCAAGTGCTTCCTCCAGTAAAATCGGGTACCTCCCAAGGTAGTTTAACTTTTTGTAAAGATCTATTCATAAAATGTTATTAGCAACTATCCGGATTTCGAGCATTAAATGCTCTTAACCAGATTGAATAATTCCAAATTTTGGTCTATCGACATGAATTCAGGAGTGACTTATAAATCAACCTCCAACGCGACATTCCAATGAGAAAGTCGTTTATCTGTCTGTAAATTTAATAATAAATTTTATGGGATGAAAGGGTTCTCAATGGGGTCTGCATTATTCCCACTTTGTATCGAAATATTTATGGATCACTTTGTAAAAATTCTATTCAAATCAACTAATGAATTAATTAAATCTGTGCTTTTTTGGAAACGTTATATACACGACAGTTTGTGTATATGGTCGGAAATCGTAGAATATCTAAAATAATTCCTCCAATTAATTAATTCTTTATACCCTAATATAAATTTGAAATTAGAAATAATTAAATGTGTTTAAATTAATTAATCTTTAATAAGGTTTTGGTTGAGATAAAAAAGTCAGTGTCACAAGCGGGATTCGAACCCACGACCTTCGCGGCTAAATACGCTAAATTTAGGACTCGGGTACCAACTTCCCATCTCAACCCCACCTTCTGAATTTTCCCTCCTTTTGGCCATTTTTAACAAGAAAACCTTAATTAAAGATGAATTAATTGAAAAGAATTTATTTGGTCAAGCGGACCATGAAACCTAATAAATGTAAGTCACGATAGTTCAAGTGGTAGAACAGCGGCGTATTTCGCCGAAGGTCGTGGGTTCGAATCCCGCTTGTGACACTGACTTTTTTATCTCAAACAAAACCTTAATTAAAGATTAATTAATTGAAAAGAATTTATTTGGTCAAGCTGATCACGAATAAATGTACTATGTTTAAACTTTTTAGACTTAAAATTTTCCATAATAAATAACCTAACTGAAGTAGATCTAGAAAACCCACAACAACAGACACCATGATGCCATCAGATTCTTCTCATTCGTGGACCCATAAAACTAGATAATTTTGGTTCATAGATCGTATGTTGAAACTCCGATTAACATATGTTAATTGCAATAAAAATGATTATATTTTTTAATTATTATAAGGTTATTATACTCAGCAATCTGGTGACTTAACCTTACAAAGATGGGCCCCACCTCCTATCCTCAACAATATGACTCAGGTTCCGCTACCTCACTGACAATTTAACCGGAATCCATAGCGGATCTAAGAAGACTAGGATTTAAGTTGACGTTAGAAACCAAACTTACCAAAAGGATGTCCATGGATTTACGGTCTTAATCGAATATTGCCGAGCAATTATAAACCGAAACCATACATTTCACCCCAAAATCCTTCTTATCACCAATCGTACACAGCTTAAAAATTAATTTTTCTTTTAAATTTCCATAGAAAGCTTTTGTTCCAATCCTTTTAATTTTTCCCTTTCCTCAAACCCCAACGCCCACGAAGGCTGAAATGACAGTGGCCAAAATATGTAAATGAATGTATTGTACCTATCTGTGAAATGGTGTACAACTTAATATAAGTGAAAAAGAATGCTAAACCAGTTTAACAATTCCTCCCAAGTTTGTAAAAAATATTTGAAAGGAAAATTAGATGGAAAGAATTATTGGATGTACCTCGGTGACTCTTGACAGAAGATTGCGATTGTCTACGAATCTATAAACTGAGTCTATTGGTTTTTGAAGGTGCTGAATATTTGAAACGACTATTTTTTTGGTGGAGTACACGAAGTATCGGAATTTG